GACTGTGGAAACTTCACACTGGACTTCAAGCAACATGGTTTCTGTGCCTCTCCACTCTTCCTCCAGACTCTGGGACCTTGATTTCCAAATGAAATGCAAAATTTACTTTCATCTGAAAAGAGGCCTTTGGACCAATGAGCAACAGTCCAGTTCTTTTTCTTCACAGCCCAGATAAGACGCTTGTGACGTTGTCTCTGGTTCAGGAGTGGCTTGACACGAGGAATGCGACATTTGTAGCCCATGTCTAGGATTCGTTTGTGCGTAGTGAGTCTTGATGCGCTGACGCCAACCTCAGTCCACTCCTTGTGAAGCTCCCCCAAATTCTTGCTGGTGCACCTTTTCCTACCACACTTTTTCCTTCCACTCAACTTTCTATGAATATGCTTGGATACAGCACTCTGTGAACAACCAGCTTCTTTAGCAATTAACTTTTGTGGCTTACCCTCCTTGTGGACATCTGTCAAGTCAGCAGTCTTCCCCATGATTGTGTAGCCTACTGACCCAGAGTGAGAGACCATTTAAAGGCTCAGGAAACCTTTGCAGGTGTTTTGAGGTAATTAGCTGACTTACCAATATTGAACTTTTCCACAATATTCTAATTTTCTGAGACACTGAATTTTGGGTTTTCATCATCTGTAAGCCATAATGATCCGTGTATCATTCGATCATTCGTTTTTTGATTTAATATTGAAAGTAGAAAAATGAGAAAATGGCTCCTTTTTCGTTTTTTTCCAAAAAACGAGAAATAAGAATTCTGCTTAAATTTTTTCGTTCATGGGTAGAAAAATTAATAAACGGCTTGAATATTTGATTTCTACATGTGGGCGGGAATTAAACGCCCCTTTCTGCTGATTGGTCAGCCGAAGATCAAACCGTGCCGTCATCAGTTCTTCTGCAGTATCACGCAGCAGAATAATAGTCCTCCGCTGCTGCAGTTGTACGGATTAATAACCCATTTTATCAATTTCATATTTTTCTCATCAAACAGACTAATGAATAGCTCGACACAACTCGTAC